CTCTCAGCACCAGCTCTGGGCTGCTGTGGCCTTCCAGGGAAGGATTTGGGGTTTGATGTGAACCATGAGCCCTAAATCCTGAGGGGTTCTGTTTCTGAGGGATGTGGGAAGGAAACACCGACCCCGTTACATTGTGGGGTCAGGCCCAGCCACCCTTTTCCCAAGGAATGCTGGAAGGATTCCCTCCCATCCAGGCATTCCAGCGTGCCTGCCCTGCCTCAATTTAAAAATAAATAAAAAAAAAACAAAACAAAACCCAAACAAAACGCGCTGCCCATTGATATTCCCGTCACAGCTGTGCTCGCAGCATGGCTGGGCTGTGAATGGACACATTCCTCATCCCCACGGCTGATCTGCCTCTGCTTCAGAGCTTCCCAATCCCAGCACTGAAATCCCGCAGCTCTCAGCTCCTCCATCCCAAGATCAGCATTTTCTCCTCCTCCTCCTCCTCCCCTCGCTGCTGGAGCCCCTTCCAGCCCCACATCCCGCAGAAATCCTGCTCTCCCAGCTCCATCCCAGCCTCATCTTTTTGTTTTTTTTACAGAAAACCTCATTTGCTCAATCGGAGCTTCCCTGTCGATTTAATTAATGCAAATCCAGCCACGTGTTAAACCGTAATTACCGCAAGGCTCTCGTGGTTTTTTGTTGGTGATTTTTATTTTTTCATTTTTTTCTTGTGTTTTTTAAGGCTTGGATTCCCAAGCTGAGCCCAGTGGGAGCTCTGAGAGAATGTCCAGTGCTCTGGGATTTCAGTGTCCAGCCCTGGAGAGCAGACAGCACCTCCTCAAACAAAATTCCCAATTCCCTTTGACTGCTCAGCACCCACTCGCTTTCACGTTGGGTTTTTTCCATCGGGAAAAAAAAAAAATTAAAAAAAAATCACAACTTCGCTCTGGGTGAAATTCCGAAGGAAAACCAAGTTCCYTGCTCTCCAAAGTGAATTTTTATCACCGAATCCTGGAGCTGGAAAGGCTGGATGCTGCCAGTCACGAGGGATTCAGCTGCACGGTGTCATCTTCCCCAGTTCCTCCCACGCTGGGCCTGGGGCAGGACAGATCCTGAGGATGTGGAGCAGCTCAGAGCTGCAGGTTTGGGGCTCTCCCCATTCCCTGCCCTCCAAAATGCACCCCCATGGGGTGGGGAGGGCTCCTGTCCCCTCACCCAGAGGATTTTGAGGTTTTTCCAGCAGTTTTCCCTCTGCCCCATTTGGGGCTGGAGGTGTCTCTTGCTAATCCAGAGGTGATTCCCGAATAAAAGGGGGAAAAAGGGCTGAGGAGGGAAATTRAGAGAGGGAAGGGGCTGTGTGAGGTCTCTCTGCTCTGAAAAAGCCACTGAGACAGATTGAAATGATGCATTTTGGTCCTGGTCCAGCTTTCCCCCATGTTTGGAAGGACAGGCTGAGCTCAGCCTGCGGGCGCTGCCTCTGCCTTTCCCCACAGAGTGAGGGAGAGGAAAGTGGGGAGCTGCCTGAGGAGGAGACCCCAAATSCTCCTTTTTAACCCTCCAACTCATMTTTTCAGCCCAGAATGTGGTGCTGGGACTGTCAACAGCCCTTTCTGGGTGACACAATGAGCCCCCAAACCCCTCCAGGYTGTCTCACCCCTCGTGTCGATCACACACAAGGCCTCGGCTGGGGCTTATTTTGTGGGATTTTTTTATTTTTAATTTAATTAAAACACCACCCTCTTATTGCCCATCACACAGGGATGTTGATTTTGGCGTAGAGCAGCAGATTGCTGGTTTATTGTGTAAAAAGATGGATGCTTTTCCACTCGAAAGCCTGGCTTTGTCTGTTCTCTCAGCCACAGCGGATGTGTCAGGTTCTTTTGTCTTTTAATTTATATATTGATCCATCAAGGGCTCAAATTAGTAGGGGGAAGAAGGGATCAAGCAGCACGGAGCAAATGTTAAGTGCAGGTATTGTTTCTGTGCTGGTGTGGCTGAGATTCCAGGGGAAGGGAGCAGGAATTAACCCGTTTGGATGAGGAATTGTCAGTGGAGATGGCAGGGGAGCTGCTCCTCGTCCTGAGAGGATCCAAAATGTGGAAACCCAGATTTGGACTGAAGCCCAAAAGTGCCATAAAACACCCTCCAGACCCATTTCCTTGGCTCACAAATCCTGATAGATCCCACCCATAAATTCCTGCAGATATTCCACGGAAAAACGAGCCGTGGCTGCAGCTCTGGGCAGGTGGGAATCTCCTGGCTGTGAAAAGGGAGGGGGACACTCCCAAATCCTGCCTTTGGGTCGGAATTTCAGTGCTGTGAGTCTGCAGGAMCTTGAGAACTGCAAATCCACCTGCTCCCCAGGAAAATCAACCCCGTTTGGATTTTGCCAGGGAAGCTGCTCTGGTTTCAGGCAGCCTGAGAGCTTTGCAAGGAGAATTATTTATTTTCAGATTTGCTTTTTGCAGGAACAGGCTCGGTCTGGGGGCTGTCACAAGCCCATTAATTCTGTTTATTTGATATTTGGGATTTCAGATTTGCTTTTTGCAGGAACAGGCTCAATCTAGGGGCTGTCACAAGCCCATTCATTCTGTTTATTTGATATTTGGGATTTCAGATTTGCTTTTTGCAGGAACAGGCTCA